CGTGCAGCTGGAAGAGGGTGGAGGCAGTGGGGAACGACGACGACGACGACGACTACGACGACGACGACGAGGACGACGACGACGACGACGACGACGACAACGGCGACGAGGACGACGACGACGACGACGACGACGACGACGACGACGACGACGACGACGACGACAACGGCGACGATCACGACGACGACGACGACGACGACGACGACGACGACGACGACGACGATGGCGACGGCGACGGCGACGGCGACGGCGACGGCGACGGCGACGGCGACGAGGACGAGGAGGAGGATGAAGACGACGATGACGACGACGAGGACGAGGAGGAGGAGGAGCACGACAACGACGACGACAACGACGACGACGACGATGGTGACGGCGACGGCGACGGCGACGGTGACGGCGACGGCGACGGCGACGGCGACGAGGACGAGAAGGAGGAGGAGGACGACGATGACGACGACGAGGACGAGGACGAGGACGACGACGTCGACGACGACGACGACGACGGCGACGAAGACGACGAGAGGCCCACCCAAACTCATGACGGTGGCTATGCGCGATCACAGGCCCCCCCTCAGTCAAGCCTCAGATTGGCACCCATCTCCAGATTGGCACAAGCGAGGCCGTTTTTGCGCCATGCTTGGGGCGGCGATGCATCTGCCGGTGCCAATGTGGACCTCTGCATCCGCAGGGGCCACCGCACCACCCCGCACCCACAGGTGGGCGTCACCGCATCGCAGCGCCAACCCGCACCCACAGGGTAGGGGGCCTCTCGGGGCTGTGGGGCGAGGGGTGCACCCTGGACTATCGAAGACGCCTGCGGCGAGTCACCGCCGCCCCCTGCCTTTTTGGAAGCGCCTATGTGGCCGAGCGTTGAGGCGAGACCTGCCAAGCTATCGGACCCTGTGTTCCCCGAATCGGTTTGGAAAGCCTGCGGGGAACACGCAGGCATGAATCGACCGGGGGTGGTGGATCGAGTGGCCTTCGGCTCATCCCGCCACCGTGCTTGGGTTGTGGGTATGACGCCTATTGAATCTTCGTTGGGATCTCGTGGGAGGCCTCTGGGGGGGCTCTTGAGGCAGTTTGGAGGCCTCCTTGGGGCCGTTTGGGGGCTTCTTGGGTACCTTTTGTGCTTCTTGGGGCCCTCTTGCGGCCTCTTGGGAGCCTCTTGGGAGCCACTTCGAGCCTCCTGGGCGCCTCTAGGGGCCTCCTGGGACAGAAAAAAGGCTCGGATTTTCGTTCGTGCTCCCTCTCTGGGGCCCCCTTTGGGGCCGTCTTGGGGCCTGGGGTGGTCTCGGCGGCCTCTTCCGTCTTGGAGCGTCGGAAAGCCGAGAAGTCGAGAACGCCGAACTCCTTCGAAAACCAGATGGGGATCCATGATTTTGGCCTCTTGGCGGCCTCTTGGGGCGTCTTGCAGGCGTCTCGGGCCGTCTGGGGGCCACCTTGGGTGTCTTTGGGCCGATCTTTCGGCGATTCCGAGCCCTCTTGGGCCGCCTTTGGGGCCTCTTGGGGCCCTCTGGGCCCGTCTTGGGGCCCTCTTCGGGCCAGGAAGAGCCACGCGATACCGCGTCCTGGAGCCCAGGGGACGCGCGGGAAGCCCCCGCGGGCACGCGCCGAGCCTCCCGGGGATTTTTGTTTGAGCATCTGGGGCCTGAGCCCCTGGAAGGCGCTGCTCAGGAGTGAGGACCGTGGAGGATGACCATGCCAGGAAACACCCCGCTTGCCTACAGGGTGCCCTCGGTGTCTTGGGTTTCGAGGGTCTTGCCTGTGGAAGCGGCGACGCTCCCACTTCCGAAATCCATGGGCGTCCTGGGGTCTCAGGGCTGTTTTTTTTTGTGCCAGGTTTCTTGTGGACGGGCTCCTACTGCAGGCAAACGGCCTGAGGACACGCCCACTCCGTGCCCAGCGCCACGGTGGCGGACAGATGCCGTCTGCGTGGGTCTTCTCGCGGCGTCCATCTCTACCCCTGGGGGGCGGGACAGGCTGGTGGCACTCGGGAGCGACAGCCCACCTGGGATGGGGACAGGTCTGGCGAGGTTGAGCGTGGAGGGCGACTCCGGTGTGCGCTTGGGCTAGAACCCCGAGGCGAACCCGGCCGTGGTGACGAGAATGCCCGCAGAGACCCTCAGAAGAGCTAAGAACGCCCAGCAGCTTCGATCCTCCCTCCTCCTCGGGGTCTTGGTGTCAGTGGTTTGGTCGCTCTGCCTGGCTCCACTGTGACTGCTCAGATTGCCACTGAGTTCTCCCCATCGCGATGCGACGTTCTGCTACGACTTATAATGCACGTGTCTCTCCGTGCTCGCGTGTCCGTGCATCGCGCGATAGGGATGGCCCTCCTTGGGGACAGTGGAACTCTCGATCTGCCTTTCCTGGTTAGTGGCCACGCAGGGGAGCCTCTGTTCGACCCAAGGCGGTTTTTTCTCAAACTATAGTTTAGGCTGGTTTAGCGGAACCCAGTGGGTGCTCAACTCGGACTTGGTGCGATGTCTGTAGAAGGGTATGGTGGGTGGCCAAGTAAGGGAGCCTTTGTTCGACCCACGTCGTTTCTCAAAGAAGGTTTGAATTCATTCAGCGAGAATCAGCGGGTGCTCCAATCGGGTTTCGTGCGATGTATGTTGTAGGGCGTGGTGGGATTCGGTGGGATTCAGTAGGGTCGCAGGTGAGATGTGGTGGGCTGTCGTGGGTTTCGGTGGGGCGCCCACTGCATCTCGTGAGCTAGGCGCCCGTGCGACCGCGTGGAGGTTCCGGGCCCGGCCGCCACGATCCTCGAACCTCGAGAACCCCGACAGGCAGACTCCGAACACTTCGATTCGACCCTCGTGCCGATCCTCGAGCCAGGATCCTTGACTTCGAGCTTCGATCCCCGAGCTTCGATCCTCGAACTTGGAGCTCCGATCCTCGAACTTCGAGCGGCGGCGGCGGCGGCGGCGGCGCGGCGACCGCTCGCGGCGCGCCGAGAGGCGGCGCCATGGCGCCGCCGCGGCCGGCGCCGGTGAAGAGGCGGGTGCTGGAGTGGCTCGGGCAGCTGGAGGCGGGCGAGGACCTGCTCCTGACGCGCTCCGTGGCCCCCGAGTTTTCGGGGGGCGGGCCTGCCTTCCACCACCACCACCATGAGTTGGAGCGGGAGGGGGTCCTCCTCCTCCTCCTTCTCCTCCTCCTCGTCCACCTCCACCTCCTCGTCCACCTCCTCCTCCTCCTCCACCTCCTCCTCCTCCTCCTCCTCCTCCTCCTCCTCCTCCTCGTCCACCTCCTCCTCCTCCTCCTCCTCCTCCTCCTCCTCCTCCTTCTCTTCGTGCTCCGCCTCCTCCTCCTCCTCCTCCTCCTCCTCCTTCTCTTCGTCCTCCTCCTCCTCCTCCTCGTCCTCCACCTCATTCCCTCTCCAACTTATGGTGGTGGCGGTGGAAAGCAAGCCCATCATCGGGAGTGGACGGAACCCCCACCCAGACACGTCGATGAGTGAATGGTCCGCTGTCGGTGCTCGAGGGGGCGCCGCGGCCGTGCATCTTCCAGGCGTGCGCCCGCCATGTTTGGGCCCGAGGTCGTTTTCACTGAACCACGTTCTGCTGAAAGGGGGCTTTGTCCATCCCCCATGATTGCACATTGCTAATGTATCATTATGTGGGAGCTATTGGGTTTTTTGGGGGGCCAAGATCCTTTTATTTCTAAGTGTTCTATCCTGGGCCTCTTCCTGGCCACTAGGGGGCCAGCAAACTGGAGCATCTGCATTACCAGTGGCGGGCGGTTTTTCAATCCCAGGACTTGTTTGAGGGTCGGGGACGACGTCGGGGTGGTGTGGTGTATGCTTGTCTCACCGTTTTCCGTGGGAAACAAAGAAGAATGTATACACCAGGATTCCGTATACACCAGGATCCGCTTCCCTGTGCGAGATTCAGTGTGAGGCCAGACAAAGGCGTCGGTGTATAGAGTTCGGTTCCCTATACACTTGTTTCATTTATCATTATTCCGGAGTGCTTGGTTTTTTTGGGGCCAAGCTCCTTTCATTTCTAAGTTTTCTATCCTGGGCCTCTTCCTGGCCACTAGGGGGCCAGGACACAGCTAGAAACGAGCACAAGTAGAAATGAGCACGTTTTGCTGAATGGGGGCTGTGTCCATCCCCGATGATTGCACTCGGAAGCTGGAGCACATGCATTAGCAGTGGCGGGCGGTTTTTCAATCCCAGGACTTTTCTGAGGGTCCGGGCCTCGTGGGGCACCCCGCGCGGGGGGCGCGTGCCGCGGCTTCGCCGGCTCTCCGCCCGATGGGGGGAGGCGCCTCGTGGGCGCCCGGCGCTGGAGGGGGAAGCCGAGGCTGCGCCCGGTGCCCACCGCACAGCTCGCACCTCACACCTCGCACCACACCTTTTGCAGCACGCAGGCCGCGCCGCACAGCCTGCACCACACAGCATACGCCACCATAGCCTACTCCACGCATGCTGCGCTCGGAGCTCACACCACCGGGCCTGGACTGCAGATCTTGTACCACACGGCTTACGTCTGACTTCTTCACCACATCGATTGAACAGAGCTTGACTGCAGATCTTGTACCACACAGCTTACGTCTGACTTCTTCCCCACGTCGATTGCACCACATCTCTTGTACCACGTCTATTGCTTCACATCCTTTGAGGCGCGATTGGAAGCTCCCATCGGTAAGCGCCATCGCGGCCGCACTGGTTGTATGTATTGCACAGCTTAGCTCAGACCACATAGCTTGCACCTCGAATAGGGCACCTCCTTGCTTGCACCGCACAGCGTGCACCACATGGCTCACTCACTCACACACAGGTGTGAATAGCTTACGGTTTGGTGTCCACGCGGGCGCCCACATGATTGCCCCACATTTAGCGCATCACGCCTACTTCATCTCGTGTGTTGCGCATACCGAGCGCGATGCCTCGCTGTTCGGGGTCCTCGCCCGCAGTCACGGTGTGCCATGCCCTGCCGCGTGTGCTGCGTGCCCGCCACGCCCTCCCGCCCCTCCCTCCGCACCTCGTGGCCCCGAGGCTCGGGAGTGCCGGGTGCGCGCCATCCCCCGCCGGCAGTGCGCTCCAGCATGCGCTGGTGATGGACGCGCTGGCCCCGAGGCTCAGGCGATAGACGCGCCATGCGCTCCAGAAGCGAGCGCGAGGACGCCACCGTCGCCGTGACGCCCCCCGGCCCGCCGCTGGAGACCAGCATCTCGACCTCCACGCTGGCCTCCTTCGGCTCGCTTGGGCTCACCCTGCCCTTGGAGCGCGGCACGTTCGAGTGCATCATACCCCACGGCGCCCGGGCGGGGTCCACCCTGGAGGTGGCGCTCCTTCCTTCCCTTTTCTGCCTCCTCGTTCTCGGCCTCCTCCTCCTCCTCCTCCTCCTCCTCCTCCTCCTCCTCCTCCTCCACCCTCCCTCTCCGTTCCCTCCGTTCTCCTTCTTCGTCCCCTCCTCCGCATCCTCTTCTCTCTCTCTCTCTCCGCTTCCCCCTCCGCCTCCTGCTGCTGCTCGTCGTCGACCTCCTCCTCCTCCACCTCATCTTGCCCCCGCTGCCTGTCCTCATCAACCTTCCTCCTCGTCATCTCTTGTTCCTCGCCCCCCTCCTCATCACTTCTTTCCACCTCGAGCCTGGAGCCCGGCGCCCCTGGATCCTCGAGCCTCGAGCCTCGATCCCCGCGCCTCGTTCCTCGGTCCTCGCGCCTCGAGCCTCGCTCCCCGAGCGTCGAGCCTCGATCCCCGCGCCCCTGGAGTCTCGCCTAGAGCCTCGATCCCCGCGCCCCTAGAGCCTCGAGCCTCGATCTCCTCGCCTCGAGCCTGTAGCCTCGCGCTCCTAGAGCCTCGAGCCTCCCGCGCCTCGAGCCTCGAGCCTTTAGCCTCGAGCCTTGCGCCACTGGAGCCTCGATCCCCGCGCCTCGAGCCTCCAGCCTCGAGCGTCGAGCCTCGAGCCCCGTGAGCCCCTCGAGCCCCGCGACCCCTCGAGCCCCGGGGGGCCCGCTTCCCGCAGGTGGAGTTCCCCGACCACGGGGGGCAGGTCCTGCTTGTCGTCGCCCCCGCAGGCGTCACGGAGCGGAGGGGGCCGCCCAAGCCGCGGGAGCAACGCTCGGGGGCAGCGCGAAGCCCAGATATCCGACGCTCCAGCAAAAATTGGAGCTGGCGGGTTTTGCCAGATTTCGGCCTCTCGGGGCCCTCGCCGGGCCTCGGGAGCGTCAAACAACGATTCAGGACGAAAAGTGGGCCCAGGGAAAGTGGCCCGGACCTCCAGGGCCCACGCATTGAAAAAAATTGAGCAGCCGGATGTCTGGGAGGAGGGCATGGGCATACATGTTCAGGCGATCGCCAACACGGATCAAGGGGGCGTGGACTATAGCGACGAGTCCCGTTTTCATGGGAGCTCGCGGATCTCTGCCGCAGAAGGAGGCGTCACGGGCCGCATTTTGGGGAGGGCACCTCCCCCGATCCATGTATTTGACGACCGCGCGCCAAATCCATGGATCGCAAATCCATGTTTGCGCGCTCCCGACAGTCGGTTGACCCAAAAGGGGGTTCAGCGGAAAGGGGGCGGCGCAATAGGTTTGGAACAATTGTATTGCAAACGTGTTGTGACGGAAAAATGTAATGCATTGTGTTGCACGCGATTGCATTGCATCCAATGTGTTGCACGCGAACATCCAGCAATACATCTGCGCACCGCAATGTATTGCACGCCCCAAATCGATTGCAACCCCACAAATCGGTTGCGCCAAATCCATTGCACCACCCCCTTTCAGCCGTACCCCATCTTGGGTCAAGCAGAACACATTTAACCCGCATGGTAAGGATGGGCAGCCTTCCCAAGAGTGCCCTTGCATCCTTCCCTTCTCGGCCCATCCTTGGCCACTTCCGTTGGCTGCGCCCCGCTCGAAAAGCTTCGAAACGGCCTTCCAAGGCCCTTGCATTTTTATCGCGCATCCTTATGATACGGGTCTGCTGTAGGCTCAGGGGCGACGTGATGAGGGCATGGGCAGAGTGGGGATTGGGTCGGCCGCGCGCAGAGCGGATGTGGGGGAGGGGAAGGCTTCTTTGAAGCACCCGGGGCTTCTTAGAAGGCGCGGGCCTTGCCTGCTGATGCAGGGCTCGCGCCTTCGAAGGAGCAGCATCCTTCCAAGAAGCCTTCCCCCCTCCCCCTATCCCCTTGTGGGCGCCGCCAACGTGGGCCACATGCGAGCCCTACCCCTACCCCCCACGATTTCTGGGAGAGAGAGAGAGAGGGTGGGGTTCAGTTCGCTCGGGAGCTCCTGAGCGAAGTGAACCCCGCCCTCCCCCTCAGAAATTATGGGGGGCAGGGGTGGGGTTCGCGTGTGGCCCCCTAGTACTTACTTTTGTGTGCCTGTGGGCCCCTTCCCAGTGGGGTCCCCCTCGGGCCCCGCCGCTGCTCCGCGGCCCCCCCCATCGCCTCCTGCCCTCCCCCTCCTCCTCCTCCTCCTCCTCCTCCGCCTTCCTCCTCCTCCTCCTCCTCCTCGTCCTCCTCCTCCTCCTCCTCCTCCTCCTCCTCCTCCTCCTCCTCCTCCTCCTCCTCCTCCTCCTAGCCAAGCATGGGTCCTCGGACGACTTCGTGGGCGCTCTGCGGTCTTCCAGCCTCGGGGTGCTCTGGGGCAGCCGCGCCTCGCCTGGAGGCATCCCCGGGGGGCCCAGGCCGTCCCGAGCGGCCGCCAGAGGCTCGAGCTGCGGCCCGACAGCCACCAGGGGCAGGGGATATGCAGCTCAGCGGGGGAGGAGGAGGAGGAGGAGGAGGAAGGAGGAGGAGGAAGGAGGAGGAGGAGGAGGAGAAGGAGGAAGGAGGAGGAGAGGGAGGAGGAGAAGGAGCAAGGAGGAGGAGCAAGGAGGAGGAGGAGGAGCAGGAAAGGAGGAGGAAATGAGGAGGAAAAAAGGAGGAGGGGGAGGGGGAGGAGGGGGGGGAGGAGGAGGAGGAGGAGGAGGAGGAGGAGGAGGAGGAGGAGGAGGAGGAGGAGGAGGAGGAGGAGGAGGAGGCGGAGGCGGAGGGAGGAGGAGAGGGAGGGAGGAGGAGGAAAGGAGAAGGAAAAGGAAGGAGGAAAAGGAGGAGGAGGAGGAGGAGGAGGAGGAGGAGGAGGAGGAGGAGAAAGGAGAAGGAGGAAGGAGGAGGAGGAGAAAAAGGAGGGGGCTGCATCGACCCCCAATCGCCCATTCATCGCCGAGGGGGGGGGGGGGGACGGCAGCCCCGCCCCACCCAGGATGCCGCGGATCTGCTGTCGGTGGCACGTCGCCGATGCATCGGCGATGCGTCGCCGATTCCTGATCGATGCTTCCCCCCTGTGCCAATCCCCCCCCCTTATCGTTGCCCCTTATGCCAACTCCCCCTTGTGCCACTTCCCCCTTGTGCCAATTCCCCCCCCTTGTGCCACTTCCCCCTTGTGCCAATTCCCCCCCCTTGTGCCACTTCCCCCTTGTGCCAATTCCCCCCCCTTGTGCCAATTCCCCCTTGTGCCAATCCCCCCCCCCTTATATAGGGGAGCGAAGAATGGCATAAACATAAACTCGGAGGTTCGTGCGGATTTCTCGGATCCGCGCTGGACCCCTCTGGCGGCGCCTTCGGTGAGGAGGACCAGGAGGAGGAGGAGGAGGAGGAGGAGGAGGAGGAGGAGGAGGAGGAGAGGAGGAGGAGGAGGAGGAGGAGGAGGAGGAGGGGGAAGGAGGAGGAGAAGGAGGAGGGGGATAAGGAGGAGGAGGAGGAGGGGGAGGAGGAGGAGGAGAGGAGGAGGAGGCAGGAGGAGGAGGGGAAGGAGGAGAGGAGGAGGACGAGGAGGAGGTGGGGGAGATGGGAGGAGGAGGAGGAGGAGGAGGAGGAGGAGGAGGAGGAGGAGGAGGAGGAGGAGGAGGAGGAGGAGGAGGAGGAGGAGGGAGGAGGAGTGCGCACAGTTGGAAGACGGCCTCGTGAGCCGCACATCTCCCTGCGTGGGCGCCCAACGCGCGCAGCCTGCCGTGCGAGGCCGTGGCCTCACGCGCCTCGCCGGGGAGGGCTCTGCACACGCCCCGCCACAGCGGTGCATCGCCGGTGCTGTGTGGGCCCCGGAAACGGCAGGGCCGTTTTGTCACCGTCTCCGAAAAAATGTCCTTTGAAAACGGACACGGCAAAAAACGGCGACCGGGAATGGCAAAAAGACGGCTCCAGGATTGGAGCCGGAGCCGGAGCCGGAACCGGTCAAAAAACGGCGACGGAACCGGTAAAAAAACGGCGTCGGAACCGTCAACAAAAACGGCAAAACGGAACCGGTAAAAAAACGGCCTTGTCGTTTCCAGGGCCCACTAAGCGCCGGTGCATCACCGATGCGTCGGCGATGCATCGGCGACGCGGCAAGATCCTCCGACCCCGTGTGCTCCGACCCCATCCAAGAGGCCTCCCCAGAGATCCAGCGCATCGAAACATCAGGGCGGAGGTTTTCCCCGGTTTTTCGCCTCTCGGGGCCCTCGCCGGACCCTGGGACCGTCAACAAAACGACTCAGGATGAAAAACCAGCCCCGGGGAAAGGGCTTGGACTTCGGGGACCCCGTATTGAACAAACCACGACATCGGATCTCTGTGTCTGTGTGCGTGAGAGGGAGGGGTAAGGAAGAGTCCCTTGGCTGCCTTATCTGCCAAGGAGCTCTTCCTTGTGGTGCGGTAGTGCTGCCCTAATCTCCCGAGGGACGACGAGAAGTTCCAAGGGACTCCTCGTGGGGCAGAGTCCCTTGGCTGCCAAGGACACGAGTCGCGCCTTGTCTGCCAAGCGGCTACACGAGAAGACCCTGCGGCAGGGGTGGAGCCTTGTGAGTGTGCCCTCCTGCGCCCCAGGAGGGGCAGCACCTCCAGCTCCCCTTCGAGGTCTCGGCCACCGGGGTCGTCCAGTACCCCCTCGAGCCCGAGCCCGGCGGCCCGACCGGTGCACCAGCGGCCGCCCGGACATCTGGCGGCTCGGCCAAGTCGAGACCGAGACCTTCGACGCATCGAACAGATTGAGACGTCTACGCCTGCCAGCTTCGGCTGCACGTGCAGAAAGCGGCTTTAATAAGGAACACTTGCAAAAGGGGCCCGGTCGTTCCTTAGGCTCGCATGCGTTATCTATGGTTCCTGTTGCGTTATTTATTATGTATCCTTCTTTGTGCGTTGTTCCTTGGAAAATGAAGGGGCAGGCCGATGACGGTAAGCCAGACCCCTCCGAGTCATGACAAACATCACGACGGCAGGTCGTCGTTATTTTCGGCACCCGGGGGCCTTTACCAGCCTTCGGGATGGTTGAGAAACGACCCAGGATGGAAAGCCAGTCATGGGGAAGGGGTCGAGACTGGATGGTTTCTCCGAAGGGCTTAGGCGACCCGTTCTCCTCCCTCTTCCTCCCTCCTCCTCCTCCCCTTCTCCTCCTCCTCCCTCCTCCCTCCTCCTCCTCCTCCTCCACCTCCCTCCTCCTCCCCTCCTCCCCTCCTCCTCCTCCCTGTACCCTTCTCTTTCTCCTCCTCCTCCTCCTCCTCCTCCTCCTTCTCCTCCTCCTCCTCCTCCTCCTGTACCCTTCTCTTTCTCCTCCTCCTCCTCCTCCTACCCTTCTCCTCCTCCTCGTCTTCCTCCTCGAGTCGCCTACGGCCGAGACCTCTGGGAGGTGACGCCATGCAAAAATCATGACGACGGGGGGCTGGGGCGGGGGTCCTTCCGCCAGCGTGACCTCTGTCAGGAGGGAACACACACACACACACGCACACACACACACACACACACACCACACACACACGCGCTCGCGCACGCGCACGGCACGCGGCACGCGCACGCGCAACGCGCACGCGCCGCGAACACGCGCCCCCCCCCCCCCCCCCACCCACCCCACCCATCCCACCCACCCACCCACCCGCCCACACACAACACCACACACACCGACACGCACACGCACACGCACACGCAACGCACACGCACACGCACACGCCACGCACACGCACACGCACACGCACACGCACACGCCACACGCACACGCACACGCTCACGCACACGCACAAGCACACGCACACGCACACGCACACGC